ACTTAACCCCTTTGCATCCAGGACTCTTGCACTTAACCCCTAAACCCCTAAACCTTTAAAACCCTAAACCCCTATAAACCTTTAAAACCCTAAACCCCTGTAAACCTTTAAAACCCGCCAAGCAAACCGTAAACCGTAGACCCTATGGGACGACTGGGAGGATCCTAACCGTACGCACACCCGAAAGTGACACTTCTGAAGCGAAGCCCAATAGGTTATCATAGCTAAGTCTTACCTTAACCCTGAAGAACCTACCTTTTTAGGGTCCCTATTATGAGTTCTTTGTATAAGTCCTTAAAAATATGGGTTCTTCGGGGTTAAGGTAAGTCTTAAGTAGCTACATTTATAGCGAAACAAGCCCCGTTCCAGCCTTTCCAGACGGATCGGGCCTGGGGGCAAGTTTTCGTTAGGGTTTGCTTTGCTATTATACCTTGAAACAGGCCGGCGGAACATGTTCAGGACTTAGGGTCTGTAGGGTTCGGCGCTCACACTCGGACAATCCAGGCGAGGCATATGGTTCGAGGTCTGCTAACAGGTTGTGGAACTGAACAAGCGAGAGCTTTTTAGCAGTACAGCGATGTCTAGGAGTTGGGAGATGAACCGCTGGCCAACTTGCTTTGGCATCCGTGCATCTACTTCCCGCCCCCCGATATCCGTCGTGACATGTGCATCGGCGCGGGCTAACCTTTTAAAACACAAGCTGCGAAGTTGGATTAGCGTCGAAACGCATTCAAAGAAACTGACGGGTGAGGCGAGACTGCTTGTTTCAATCCTTGTCAGGATTCCTGCCCTCACCAATCAACATTGAAGGTATAATCAGTGGAGCACTGCACAACAGCCACAGCAGCTGCTAGTTCATGATCCGACTTCATGAACAGGACTTAAAATCCCTGCCTCGCATCGCCAAACGACTCTCTCAAACAGCAAAGCTCCAAGAAGCTCCCTGACAGTTCTGCAGTGCATTGGAAGCTTCGTCCTGTGCTTCGGCAGCAGGCCAAAGACTTGCAACAGATGCGCTCAGAGCGCATTCAAACGCCCGATACAGCGGCATGCATGCATCATCATGCTGCGCACTGCGCATATGCACAATCCCACCCCGGCGAAAAGATTTTTTGAAGCAGTAGCAACACAAGCAGAACTTACGTTCGAAGGTTCTCAAAAGTGCACCGCCATCAGGACTGCTTTCCTTGAACGTTTCTTCGCCGGGATGTTGGCAAACAAGCTTCTTGCTCTTGGTCTGCCTATGACCACAGTGGCCCAACCTGATGCATACCAACCTGACATCGAGGCTCTAAGCATTCTGTGCCAAGCTCGGATTTGGCAGCTGGCTCTTGGGGTCTTTCACTGGCTGTCCAGACTGTTTCTGGCAGTTGCCGCTCGTGCACAACGCCTCATAAGTTAATTGAATACCCAGAGTGCTCGATAGTATTCATCTACATACGACATAACATCAACCAAAAATAATAAGAGCAATAAGAAGAGCAATAATAGCAGAGTTGTGTACGAGATGCCAGGGTTGATCGAATGTCTTTACCGATGCGGTGCCTGACAGTCCGGAAGCCGTGGTGCGCACGGCTGTTTTTTCTGTGTATTTGCTGTAATTTCGGACCCCGACTAACCTGAGGTCAACCTACTCTGGCGACGGATCGTCGCACCTGGAAATCGGAGCTGGCCCCATCCTTTGGAGAAGCAAGGCTTGCAAAATTTTACTGTGACAAGCGATAGATTACACTCTATGACATCGTACCACATCTTGTTTATCTCTTGAATTGTATACTGTTTTGTATTCTGCTATCTTATGTTACATTAATTAGTATGACGCGTTGAATGCACTGTACTAGGTTATTACTGTATACATACATGCACATGCGTGAACGTATGCGTGTAGTTGGAGTGCGGCGCGTACCCGCGCGTGTAGTTTCAGCCACGTTTGGAACTTTGTCGGGGTTGGGGGGTGGGGCGGGGGGGGGTGGGGGGGGGGGGGGGGGGGGGGGGGGGGGGGTGGGGGGATAATTACGGGCTTTTGGACTTCTGCAAGCCAAAACACCCAAGCTCGACTCTTTCTCCATCCAAAGCCGAAGCATTGAAGCCCGAGACTCCGAACCTCGAGTCGTTCTCCATCCCATGCATTCGGAGTCGTTGCCGGCATGGTGACGCAATGGCTTGCGCTGGCCTTATCCCTGCTGCTTTGCTTGAGGTCAGCTGACTTCATGCCTGCTGCCGGCATGTTGCGAAGTTTTGACCGCTGCAGCTTTGTGGAGCGGCCACTTTCCGTAACAACTACTTGGTGCGAGCAAGTACTCAAACAGCCCGCCCCCCAATGTAGGAAACAGTTGCCCGATGTGCTGAAAACCCAGCCCTGCACATCCATCACCCATTTCAATGCGAGCAAGTATGTCAAATAGCCTGCCCCCTAAAATAGGCCTGAGTTGCCCGACGTGCTGAAAACCCGCCCCTGCCAATGTTTTCTGCACGTCCGTTCTTGAGAACATGCCCTTTGCACCACGCGCGAGAATCAACCGCGAACCGTGTTGTGTATCTATCTACCTATCTATCTATCTTTAGGTCTTTCTGTCTAACTATCTGTCGATCTATCCATCGGTCTATATACATGTAAACATATACATATACATATACATACATATATGTATATATATATATATACATATGTATAATTGTCAGGCTGTTTCGCGGGGGGAAATGCATAGGGCAAACTTCAAGCTGCCTCATTTCTGCCTTGAAAAGTCCGGGACCGGGCCGTCCAAAATCGTGGCGAATTCAAAAGACTTTTTATGATTGACTCCTCCTCTCCTGGAGATTGTTGCTTCCTCTCTGCCCAATTGCACTGCGAATCCCATCTCGCGAGCGACCTGAGAAGGTCCCTCTTCTCTCAGCCCGTCATCTCCTTAGCTCCAGGGACTGCTCTACAGGTCTATACCTAAACCCCCAAAAGTAGGTGAAATAATAGCCCAATCCCAGTAAAAGGCTATTATTCTACATACCTTGGGGGTCCAGGTAGAGGCTTCTTCAGGGCTCTGGCAAGATATGCATGCGTGATTTTTTTGGGTTGAGTGTCAGATCTATACTTACGCCCCGGTGCCACCAGTTGCCACCACGAACACCTTTTGCATTCCGAGCGTCTGAAACTTTCTGGCGTTTGCAGCCTTCAGAAATTGCTTGCCAGAGACGACGGGACGGAGCGACGGCGCGTACCCGAACCACTGGACCTGTGGGAACACGGTCCTGCAAAGGCCATGTACTTGCTATTCTTCCTTTTGTTGCAGCTATTTATTGTTGCCGTAATGCTAAACATCGAGGGAAGACCCAACGAGCCCAAGACCATGTATTTCGGGAACATGAGTGTGTATATACATATAACTATAATATAGCTAAATGTAATGATATTTAAATATGTATATATATATATACATGTATACGTATATATAATACACAATCAGTCATGCCCCAGGAAGATTCGTGAATTCAGGAGCAAGCTTACAGCAAGTCCTCGTAGGCCTTCTTCTCGGAGTCGGTGAACCCATCCCATTTGCAGCGTAAGCTGGCAGGTGCAGAGGCATGAAAGAGCATGGTGGAAAGCAGCAGTTCGTCCTATGCAATCCTCACCTCTCTCTTCCGGATTCTGTAAACGAGACCTACAATCTCGGATGACCGACATGTGACAGAGTCGCTGGCCTCAGAGGTGCTTCTGTCAGAGCTGAATCCGGCAGCCTCGCCAAATGCTCGTTCCTGCGAGCCAGAGACATATATACATATATACATACATATATATATACACACATTTTTACACATATACATATATATATATATATACACATATACATATACATATAAATATACATATACATATACAAATACATATACAAATACAAATACATATACAAATACAAATACATATACATATATATATATATATATAATTACATATACATATACATATAAAGCCTGCAACTGATAACTGGGCCCGTCTACAAGCACAACTTCTGATGTCCAGCCAAGATGCATAAACACCGCATATCCATTGAACTCGGGGAACTTTTCAGCAGGGAGGGGAGTCAAGGACATCTTCTTGGACATCATCTCCGGGCCGCTTCAGTCGCTTCCCTTTCCTACGCTACTATGTACAAAGGGCAGCCTCTGAGCCGAGAACATGAGCACGCAAAGGGTCACGCGAATTCGAAAAACACATGCGGAATGGAAGGCACTGAAGGACCTGTAAAGCCGACTAAACCCTATAAGCCCTTTTTTTGCATCGGGCCTTTACCACCCTATAAGCCCTAAACCCTAAACCCATGATAAGCTCTGCTTCGGATTCTGGGCTCTGGGCGTGCTTCTTGTTCCAGCAGGCGCTGGGAGCGGAGACCTCGAAGCCAAGGTATAGCTCTTTGAAAAGGGATCCTTCCGCTCAGCTAACCGTTCCTCATATTTTGTTGTTAAAAACGATTCGTAATAATATTATTGCTATTGTTGTCACAAGGCATCAATCTTTGCAATTTGCAAAGCCGAGCCACTGGTTCTGCATCAGCTGACGCTGCACCAACTGCTGCATCTGTGTCTGCCTCGGAGCTGACTGCGACTGAATACTTAAAGGATCATGGGACTTAGGAACTAGGGTTCCTTAAAGGGCTCCTTTAAAGGGATCTCTAGGGGTTCTATCATAGGGTCTACTTAAAGGATCATGGGACTTAGTAACTAGGGCTATAATTAGCGTAATTATACTCATAACCCCAATTAGGGTACTTATAACCTTACTTACTAAGGTCCCATGATCCTCTCAGTAAGTTGCTGCGCCCTTGGGTCTGCATGCGGTGGTGTCTCTCTGTCTGATGTCGGCAAGACGAACTCTTCCGAGCGAGGAAGCATCGCTATTCGATGCTCCCGGGGACAAGCACCGTTCTAAGAGTAGAGGTGCAGGCTGACATGTTGTCAGCCCACCTCGGCAATGCCAGCGGACGACCTCTGTAAGGACACCCCGCCCCCAGTTATGGCGGGAGTTGAGCTCGACGAGGGGCTGATTCTTGAACAACAGCACGGCTGCATGTCATGTCAATGCTTCGCCCCAGGTAAGCCGTCTCCTTGGGCTTTTCTGCCAGTGTGACTTCTGGTCTGTCCGGCAAGAGCAGCTTCAGAAGCGGCTGGTAGTCTGGATGATCAGATAAGCCTGGTCGTGGCGAAAGGTGTGTGTGTGTGTGTGTGTGTGTGTCTGTGTGTGTCTGTGTGTGTGTCTGTGTGTGTCTGTGTGTGTCTGTGTGTATGTGTTCTCGCGCGCAGATGTGTGAGCATTCACCTCTCGACGTTCTGTTTTCACGGTGGTTGGGTGACTGCATGCCGCATGCACATGACTTCCCTAGAGTGACTAAAAAACAGCAGGGCCAGGCCACCGTAGCTTGAAAGGATGGATCGGTGGCGCATGACCAGCCAAGCTTCGTGGAAGTTTATTCTGGATCGCGGCGCTTTCTGTGTTCGTCTGCTTCCATCTGTTCGAGGATTTCGGACGAGCGGTCGCCAGGTTCGGGGCGGAGGCCCGACGCCACAGAAGAGCCACAGGATTCGTCGACATAGCCAGAGCAACAGAGGCAGCGCTAGCAAGATGATTGCCAATGCAGAGACAGGAAACGCTGGGCCGCAAAGTCCTTCCGTCATGCCTTCCATCTCTGTGCCTGAAGGATGCCACACTGCCCATGCCACGAAGCAGCAGCCTAAGAAGCTTGATGCCCACAGGAAGGCGGCAAACCGCCGTGCCGCCAGGAGCGCAAGACGCACTGGTGTGCCGAAGCGAACCTCAGTTTCAGAACCATCTTGCGACCCCGAGTTCCATGTCTTCGGGTCTCTAAGACTCCAGAAAAATCGGAAAGCTGCTTGTGTCAACTCGGCTACCGTCACTGCACCTCGCGCAATGACGGACTTGACGGCCCAGTACCAAATGAGCGCTCCCACGAAACCCACACAGGGAAGACAGGGTGCAAATGGCTGGAAAGCTATTGTTACGGCCACCACCGATGCCACAGAAGCATACTGCTTCCAGAGCATGAAACTGGTAGCGTGTGATCTTCTGCATATACGAATTGCATCAGGTATTATCACAAGCCATCGCAGACAGCACCAAACCAAAATGATAGGGATGGCATACTTGTAGAAGGATATGTCAACTTGCTGCAGTCGCAGGCCATTTGCTCCAGCTGCACCCAATTGAAATTGAAGTAGCTGCTCTGACCACAGCCACTTTAGAGCAAGCAGGCCGCACACGGGAGACAATGGTGCACCCACCTGGGAGGTTCTGAAAATTAGGAGTACCTTATTTTGGGGGTCTTGATAATAAGGATCCTACTATAATTTAGGGTACTGTATTAGGGTCCCCTATTTTCGGAAACCCCCAACCTGTGCAGCAGCCAAGAGAAACATCTTGGCAGCCTCGAGCTGCGAAGCATACGCAGCACGCCAAAGTGGCATCAGCCACCTCAACCCCCAACAAGCGATGGCTTGCAGAATCTCCACCAGGACGACACATGCAAAAACTGCTAGGGAGGACTCAACCTCCTGGAGTTCGCACAGTGATGTGTCCGGAATCTGCGATTTTAGGAGATCACAGGCGCAGAGGCAGCTGCAGCCTGAATTCCAGGCAGCTAAGCTGGCATCCTGTGACGACCAGATATCACATTGCATCGCCGACTCTCCAGGAACTCCCAGCGTAGCCGAAAAAATGAGCAGGCAGCCTCCAGAACCCAGAAGAAACAAGACCAGCAAGAACGTCACGGTGGAAACTCGAACGGCACACTGCCACACCGCGGCAGGGGGCAGGCACCTTGCATCAGAAAAGTAGGACCAAGCAATATCTGATGGCTCGGGAGCAGCGGATAGTCGCAAAGGCCATCTCTGCTGCAGCCGCAAATGGCGTGGCTGCAAAGCCCGGCAAACGGCGAACTGTGCCAAGCGATACCGTTTCAGCAGCCAGTCTCGCTCCTCCTCGCTTCCCAGCACTACAAAAGCACCACAAACCTCAGCAGCTCTGAGCGAAATTCCCAAGCAACTAGCCGAACTACTTCTGATCTTGGGACGAGGAATTATTGGACGGATGGTCAGCTGCCTTGAAAAATACACAAGGACAGATATACAGATATTTACATACGATTCTATATGTATGTAAAAAGCTGGTCTTGGCTTCCGCCGCGCCACCGGCCGTTCGCTCTCGTCACGGCGCTGCATTGCCACCCGCCGAACGGCCTCCTGGCGGTGCCTGGGTTTAGGGTTTAGAGTTTAGGATTTAGGGTTTATAGGGTTTAGGTTTTGTAAGGGGTTAAGGAACTGAATTAAACCTACCGTGATAGGGATCTGTAGTGCATGATAGTTAGGGTGTCCTGATTGATAATAAACATGGGAAACTTCAAGTTAGTTCTTTAGCAATAGGGAAACGAAAGAAACCCTGTGATTTAATTGAAGGTGCCCCATATTATGGTAACTTGTAAAGTGTGTTCCATCCTAAACCCCAGACCCCAATCCCTTGTGCATTCAGGCCTATTTCGATTGCCGGGTACCCGTGAACAAAAGAAACGAAACTGAGGGCCAGGCAAATGTGCAGTACTGCTGGCTGCAAAACTCACTCAAACACACAAGACACCATGCCTTGCATGCGACCACTCTCAACAGTGGTCTATGCCCTAAACCATTCTCATTATGGTAACTTGCACACTGAGCTCCTTCCTCAACTTTACAGACCCTAATCCCTACACCCTATGAGCGTAGCCCTGAGCTCCTGAACCCACTACTACACGGCCTTTGGAGCCCATGATCCCTAAACCCTAATAAACCTAAGTTCCTTGACATGTTATCTTTTGAAAACCCTACAATCCCTAAACCCTATAAACCCTAAGCTCCTTAACAGGAGCCCAGGTGCTGGAGAGCGCGCGCGGCCCGGCGGCTGCCGGGGCTGTGCCGCGTGGCGGAGGCGGCTTTCAGCTCCCAGGCCTCTCGAAGCGCCAGGAGTGATTGCGGCTTACAGGCTTTCTCTCTCTCTTTGCTTTGCTTTGCTAGGGGCTAGGAGCGGGAGCAGTCCTCCCTCTTTCTCTCTCTCTCTCTCTCTCTCTCTCTCTCTCTCTCTCTCTTTCTTTCCACAGGCTTGAGGGCGAGCCCCCGTGGGAGCTGCCCGTTCGGTTGGTGGGGTGCATGGGCTTGCGTGCAACAAAGTTTCGGGCACTCCACAGGTGGGGCGAGTTTGTTGAATTGGTCTCGCTCCGCCCTTTTTGCTGCTGCACTCCGTGGTTGTTCCACCGAGTGTTTGCCTCGCCACTGTAGGCCAACATATACCATGACTCTACTACTCCTTGACAGCATGAACCACTTCGCCTCGCTCTGTTTGCTTTGCCTTGCTAGGGGCTTGCAGCGGGAGCAGTCCTCCCGCCCCTCGCGGGCGCGCTGCCCCATCCATCGTTTGGAATGGATGGGCTCGAACTTTACAAAGGGATTTGTGCTCCTGGTTTTCAGGAGGCAAGTGGCCGGGTCCCCTCTTCTTTCCTCGCTCTCTCTCCTGGGCTTGAGGGCCGTTCAAGGCCCCCGGGCGTCAAGCCCACCCGATGTGTTATCGGGTCAGGGGGTGTGAAAATCGAGTGTAGGCCAAAATACGGCTCATGCCTTCAATGATACGATAACGAAACATTTTGGTCGTACACTCTCCAGGACACATGCATGCTTATCATCTTCCCGCATCACAAGTGCCTGATCATACAAAGGTGCTACCGCTTCGGGGAGAGGATAAGCAGTCCCTCCATTTGTGTCCACATGCTTTTGGGGAGAGCTTCATATGTACAAGGAAGACAGAAAGAAGCACAACAAATAGAAACAATGCGTATAATCTCTTTGCTTTGCTCGGGGTTTAGGGCACTTTCTCTCTCTTCTTCCCCTGGGCATGAGGCTTGCTTGCTTGCTTGCATGCAAGGCGTTTGGGAGGTGGGGCTCGGGTCCCCACTCCCCCTGCGCGCGAGCGCTACGCCACTGTTCGAGTTCGGTGTGAAGCTCTCTCTCTCTCTCTCTCTCTTTCTCTGCCGTTGTGTCCAGAGGGTCTAGCAGCCTAGCAGCGGCAGGCAACGCGTGAGGCTAAAGCTCTTGAGGCCCTTCACAGGCTTATAGGCACAGGCTTTAGGGCTTGGGTATTTTGTTGGAAAACATTTTTCCACCTTGCAGTTAAGGTCGGTAGAGTTGCAAGGCTCAGAGCTAAGGGCTGGCCTTGCAAAGAGATCCCTGCAGAACCCGCCTGCAAGTCTAAGGCAGCCTGCAAGGCTCCACGGAAATTGCGCCGCAAGACTACGTCGCAACAGAGTCCGTCAGCACCACGTTCGCGGAGCCTCGGTGTTCGGGAACATGTGAACCGCATTACCAAAAGGGGAACTGCCCCAATCTAATTTTCGGAACTGACAATGCTCCCTGAAATGCATACTCATATGCCACAGCAAGGCCCCACAATGCCACGAATGCAATCTAATTCATTCGCCCATGGCTCGTGGTAGACTCTGGAACACATGTGCTATGGCAATGGGCCTCTCAACTGCGCGAACGCGCACATTACGATTGCAGTTCGATGCCCAAACCTGCAACGATTGTGGTACGATCGATCAGCCAAGCAACACCGTTTCGAAGTGTGAGAGGAGCTCCACTTCCTTCGAACGGCTAGAGCTGGCACCACTCGGAGCAAGAAGCCAAAACCCCCAGAACCCCCAACCCTAAAGAACAAACCCTGACACTTCGGTGTGTTCGTTCCGGGGCTCCAGAGTTCGCCCGCTCAGATCTACTTGGTTGGGCAAGCCGTGCACCCGCAGCGAGTAGTCAGCAGCCGAAGGCTCCTGTCGGGCTGGTGCAGAAACCCGTGGATACATGCATGCAGACGGACAGGCACAGAAATGCCGAAGGAATGTATTTGCTTGAAATGTTCCGCAGCTTTTCCGGCTTTGCAAATGTATATTTTGCGTATAGAAGGCCCTTCGATGAACCGTTGAATTTACTGGGCCCTCTGGTCGCTCCAGCGCAAGGTCCGGATGGCTGGCCAGACGAGGCCAGGACCAGAGGCTGAGGATGCCAAGGGCCAGAGGCGCGATCGCAAGCTGCGATGCAAAGAGTAAGCCTACACCTGAGCTGAACAACGATCCGGTGGTGGGAGCTTCTTGAACTTCTAGGGCTGTCTTTGGAGCTAGGTGTTATATACAAGGATCCTACCACTTAGAGGCTACATTTGCGAAGACTGCCCCGTACTTTCATATTCTGAATCTCCCTAATAAGGTGCTTCTGCACAACTGCTACCACAACGGAAGGACATAAAGGATGTCAGTGCAAGATGAGAGGCTCAAAGCCCCAGGATCTCGACAGTCCCCGAGGCCAAAGTTGAAGGGTCCTCTCGGATGACATGCCGGCTGACAATGAGCCGTCACCGGCATCACCCCGGATCATCCCCATCAACTCTAAAACCTCACCTGAACCCCGTCAAATCGCCCAGCTGCTTCCTGACATATATCAAGAAATCATAAAGTCATAAAGAAACCCTCAACATGGTAGCTTTTTGCTTGGGGTTTTTGGGTGGTGCGCTGTAAACCCCCCAACCCCCCCCCAGTCAGCGTTCAGGGGGGCTCACCTGAGTTGAGCGTGGTCTCTGGCGACACGTTGCCAAGTGTCAGTCGGCCAAGGCGGCTCAGCACGTCCTTGCAAATAGTACTGTACTATATTGTACTATAGGGTGTTGTATTGTATCAAATCCTGTAACTGAGGCAGAAACTTCTGAAGCAGGCTCCGTGGGGTACTAGCTAAAGTTGCCGTCCCCAAAGCTAAAGATCAATGGACTTGCTAGGTACTTATCGCCCCCAGTTCCACCAGAAAGAACTTCATTTTTGCATCAGGACTTGTGCAATCGCCTGAATACATGGATTCTTTCAGAACCCTATAAACCCTAATCCCTAAACCCTTTTCGCAAGTTTGGGCCGAGGCGCATCTTGGATAAATACATTCCCTCGCAAGCAGAAAAGCAGCTCCGGAACGGCCAGCAGCGAAAGCACCAGAAACATGACGCACAACGCACGAAGGGTCTGAAAATAGATGCAGTACTCTAGGCCAAACTTTTCGACATCATCCAGGTGGACGCGGAATACTGATCGCCAATTCTTCTCCACAACCTTCTCTCTCGCTGATTCTGGCCACACAACTTCTGCATCATCAACTTCAATTCCCTGCCGCATTTACGGGCGTGGACTCCACCGGACGCGTGTCTGTTGCGGTGGGCTTCCATCGGCTGTTGGTGTGAAGAGTCTATGTCTTACCCCGTGTGCACTGGACACTTCGATGACAATGCAACGTCTCTCCTACGACTACTAGAAACTAAGATTAACAAAACTAGTAATTAGGAATCATGGTAGTACTGATGATGCTAACAGTAACAGTAACATGCACAAGTCCTTCCCGAGCCTAAACTCACCAGAAGCAGCACCATGGACTCTTGATCCTCTAGCGGTGTGCATTGGCCGTTCAGGAGCAGCTCAATTCGCACAGCTAATGAACCAAGAAGATATAGTATATACATGTCATATATTGTCTATTGTCTATTCATATACTAGATTACAATGTGATACTATTCTATTTTGCATATTCTCGATTTCGATAATATACTGGAAGAAATCGATTTCGTCTGCTCTCAGCTTCTGAAACCGTCGGAGACATGTTGCAATCATCGCACTACCAAACATTACAATACTAAAAATTAAGATATAACAATAACAGTGATTAGTAATCATGGTAGTAATAATGATACTGACAGTAACAGTAACATGGACACACCGAAGACTGAAGCTCCCCACGCTTGTGGTGCAGTCGCTGCTGCGGAAGCTGCCACCTTCACATGCGACATGCCATGCTGCGGTTGCGACTGTGCTTAGCATGGACGTCCTCCGCTCCCTTTCCCATAACTGCTGCTATTGCTACTCTGCATATTGTGTCTAACTTTGTGATGACTATCAGTGTCACTGCTGTTTTTCGTTATCATTACGGTCGTAAATGTTCTTCCCGGCTGCCTGCTGGGCCATCATGGGCTGCAGCCAGAGTTGATCCGCGTTCTGGGGCCTCAGCGGGTCAAGGCTGACTTGAAGGGTTTGTGGCTCTGCCTCGGACATCATGATCTCACCTGTCAGTCTGCAGCATCATAAACTGACACAACAACATGACTCCAATCGCACCGCGGCTCAACCGCTCACCTCAACTGAACGTCGTGCGCATCAGAAGGACTGGGCAGTTGACACTTGAAGCTTGGCAGCAAGGGCAGAGAACCTGAGCGTGCTTCAGCACTCCCGTTATGTCTTCACACAAGCCTGTGGGTGCAGTCTGGCAACATACTCGCATCAGCATATCCTCCTTGCGAAGCATACCACCTGGCAGCTGTGGAATGTCAGTCACATGACACAGGCCCCCGCGCTGCCACAATGTCATAGAGGGGTCGCTTTATATTGGCCAAGGCACATCGCATCGGAATAGCCCTGGCCTTGGAACCACCTCAGTGCAGATCAGGAGATTCCACAGGCTCGTGTCATGAAATCGAGGATCTCCTTGGCAAGTCTGAGCTGAGAGAGGAACGTTCCAGCAGCCTGTCCAGGCAGCCTCGTATTCGCAAACATGCGCAACAAGTGCCTCTGCAGCTGGAACTGCAAGTGCAGTGGTGAACGCAAAGAACCAAGGGGCTTGGTAAGCGTAAGTTCAAGTTGGGGCCTTACAAATTCAGAACCGAACTTGAAAGAGTCATTATCTATCCTAGCCATAAGACGACAAGTCTGCTTTATACGCTCTTGGTCCTCCTAATTCAGTGACCCACCAAACGGACAGTTCTCTAAATTGGGGTCCCTTTCTTGGTCCCCAAATGGCCCAAACAGTAGTAATACGGCGCCCTTGCAAAAAACGAGCCTAAACGGGACCCTAATTTAGATAACTACCCAAATGAACTTGGTCCGATGCATTTGTCCGAACTGCATCTGGGCGCCGGCGCCTGCACTCTTGCACGCTTGCGCATTCTGCAAGCTACCCATAGGCTCCATAGTAGTTCCTTTTTGTGGCTCATATATAGAATCCTATAAGGTAATCCCCAAAAGGAACTACTATAGAGCCTGTGGGTCTCCCTTAGGGTTTACGTGCTTGCGAGTCATCATGGTGCATCGACCGCCAAGACGATCACCGAAGCAATGATACCGAACATGCAGCCCGGGACAGTATCTGCACTGCACATAATCGATTCGGGCTGCTCCAAGCACGAGACCCGGGCCTGTGTAATCCGCCCTTAGCTCCAGAAATTTCACTTGACAAAGGGGCGAGCTTCGCACGGAGATGTCCAAAGCATTTAAAGCATTCGCACAAAAAGGCACGGCGAAGACCGCCCCAAAACAGACACACCAAAAGAAACTGTAGCTTTGAGCCAGGAAGCAGCCCCAAATCTGTCTTCTACTTAAACCCTGTGCAAATAACACTCCCTGCATGCAGCACGACATTTGCAAACTTCTCTGGGGCTTCCAAAATAAGCCCCTGGCCAGCCCCCTCCGACGCCGTTCATGTAACCTGCGGTGTACGTCAGGTTGCGGCTTGGGGAGCTCTCGCTTTTTTGATTTGCCAGGGTGTGTTTTTTGTTTTTTTTTTGGGTGGCAAGGTTTTTATGCGTCGGTTTACAGGGGTTGAGGATTTAGGTGTTCTGTATGCAACGAAACTGGCGTAATCAACTGCATGAGTTAAGCCCCACTTCCCCGCAGCATTGATTGGCTCACCATCTCAGGACAGTTTATACAGTCGGAGCCAACACGGGGAATTGGTGAGGTTGGGACCCCATTCACGCATCCGGAGCTGCTTCCTTTTCGACGCTGCATACTTGTGAACGCTGCCTTGCCTTGAGATGTATCCGTGCCTTGCGCAGATGCCTCAGTCATGGCACACGTGATTTCATGCATGGTAACAGAGATGGCCTGCATAAAACAGCTGCCATTTGCTGCCTGTTTCGGAATGTTTGTGCCACAACACGTTTTCGAGCCACTGATCCTGGAGCTCGGTCTCATCTGCTCAGTCACAGCAAGGTCCCGGACGAAAGGATTGGCGTAGTTCGCCATGCAAAGGGCACCTTTGTCGTGAGGGTGAGGCAGAAGACTAGGTTGCTGCTTCACGACAGGGGAGCAAACGACTGCCCCAGAATACTTGCTTCCGAAGCTCACCCCTCCATCGCACGGAAGGCGCAGCCCTTTCGGATCTCTTTTTGCCGAAGCCTGTGTCTCGATCACTGTCTGAGCTGCCCTCTGCAGTTGTTTCACAACATGGCAGGGACTTGAAGCTACGATGTCGTCCAAGAGCCGCTGCAGTCCTACATAGATTCAAAGAGTCCTTAATTCTTTATGAATTTTTATGGATAGGTAAGCAACAAGTAAAGTGCTACATGATAGGTGACGTTAGGGACACGGTGCCCTTCGATCAGGATGGCCGCAGGAATGCCTGAGCTTCCCAGGGCTGGATATTCTTCGATACGAGTAATTCGTTCCATTACATCTACAGTGATCTACACAAACCCATAGTGTGATCTCCATATGCTGGCAACTTAATCCGCCTGAAAAACCAATTTCGAAACATTTGAAGGCCCCCTATAGAACCCGGTTTGAAGGTCAGGTCCTGAAGAACAGCCCCATGTCAAGCCTGATGCTCCCAAGTGACCGAGCTCGTTGCAGCAGCGGGCCTTGCATGTCCCAGACTACTTGGAGGGTCATGGGACTTAGTAAGTAAGGTTATAAGTACCTTAATTGGGGTTATAAGTATAGTTACCCTAATTATAACCCTAGGTACTAAGTCCCATGATCCTTTAAGTAAGCCATTGTTTAGGGACTCTGGGTCTTAGTCCTCCTTCCCTTCGAGAGGCGAGGGTCTGGAAGAACAGTGCGAAAAGACTCTGAAAAGGCTCCTTCGTAAAACCACAGTTCATGAATACCTGGCCGAAGGGCTGCGGCTACATGTCACAAAAAAAAACGAAGAAGACGGATTTGAACCTTCAACTCCACTCTTTTTGAGCGAGGCTTCGTCGGCTGTTGCTGACGGGAGGCTCGCCAGCTAAGGGCTGGTAGCTGCTCTCTTCCAGCGGACCACGAGCAGTGCCTCCAAGGATTCCGAAGACAGCACGCAGTTTTATGCCCGTCTTTAGCAGCAACAGCTTCGACCGAAAGATCAGAATCGATAGAGGGAGCCTGTATGGGCATCTCTGCTGCTCGATGACGCGTTGCCACCTTGTGTGTTGGGGAGGAGCAAAAGTAGTCATCGTCGTCACGTAACTTGGCGGTCCTACTATGTCCTAGCTAAAACGTCCAAGGCTCTTCGCTGGCTGCGTGTACTGAAATCAGCTTCCTCCTGCCACACACATGATGAAGGAAGATGTATAAAGTATGTCAGAATCAAGGATCTGAAGCTGACCATACATTCCCCGCAAGCTTGCATGACCTTTCTTGTCTCGAGGATTCCTGACTTTGACAGAAACCGTGGCAACAGTGTCCTCGTTCCCTGTCGCGAGCTCCCGCTCGAGTTGCTCGCGCCTCATTGGTTCCGAGGGTGCAACAATCCACAAATTATACCAGTACGACCCCTGTTTCCAGCTATGTCCCTCCTAGATCCTGCCCTAAGTTGCCCAGAAGTTGCGAGGAAAGCATGTTGCTCGTTGCCCACTATTGTAGGTTCTCAAGCCCCTGGAGTTAGACACAAGCACTTCAAGATCCTAAATGGGCCAAGCTAGGTCCTCCTACAGATTGTACAAATGCTAGCCTGCTAGCCATCATGTCGAGGCACTGGTACTCCAAACGCAGGTGCCTCACATGATGCTTGCACCTCCCAGCGCATGGTGCTGACATGGACTCGCACATGAGAAGCACCGGTGGCTTCATGTGCACTGCGCATCCTGATCGTCGAGTCATGTTATGCAATGCATCTGGACCATGCAGGCATTCCCACCTCTCGTACTTGTTGTAATGCCTCGGTACAGTATTCAAAACTCAGGGTGCCTCCCATGGACAGATCTGAGAGGTCCCTCCTGCTCGCAGATGAGTCCTGTCGTAGGTTAGCTTCGGTCAGTATCCCCAAAGCTAACAGATGTCAACACACCTGAGCCCTTGTACCACGTTCGTGCTGTTGCAACATCATGGCCGAAGCAAAAGGCTGAAGAAGTCCATCAAGCATCAGGGCCACAGAG